ACGTCCGCATTGTCCGCCTTAAATTTATAAAAGTCCATCATCGATCTGATCTGAATCCTCCCACCTTGATACGTAAAGGATAAACCTTGTGGAATCTCCCATCTATATCTGATGCTCAAAGCTCTGAGTTTGTCCGCCAAGGATTTATACCTTTTCCTGTCTTGCAGTATTGTTCTTGGGAGTTCTCTCATCACCATAATTTTGTTTCCCTCTATTTCAAAAGGGACGGTGAATTGCTTCTTGAATATCTCCTCTGTTGTTGATCTTGTTACAAATTGTACAATTACATCCCTTGGTAAATTCTTCTTTTCTGCAATTCTGGAGTTCACTCTATAAATCAAATCAAAGTCTGAGTCCATTGACCCTTCCTCCTCGCCCAGAAAAGCCGTTATCACTTCCATCATTTTTTCTTTTAAGTTCTCATTCTCTGTTTCCTTAATGCCTCTGAATCTCAGATGAGTCTGCATCCTTCTGAACTCCATCATTGTCTCTGATCTTGTAATTTGTTGAGTCAAAGAATCTTGTTTCTCTTCTATTTTTTGTATCTTCTCCTCTGTCTCTGTAGTCTTGGTTGCATTTGCTTGAACATCCTTCTTAACTCCTTCCATTTCTTGCTTGATTGAAGTTATTTCTGTAGTAACCAGTTCCTTCAATGCTGTTATGTTCTTCTCTTGGACTTCTTCTAGATGTTTCAGATGAATCTGAGTTTGCTTCTCCAGTTGGTCCCCCAATGTTTTTTCTATCTGCTCCCCCATGGCTTGTATTGCCTCTGTCATTCTCTTCTCCATTGCTTCCATGGAGGCCTGCATCTCTTTTTTCTCGCTTTACCTTGTCATTTTGGGGGTTGAAGTAGATCCAATCCTAGGTCTCACAACCGGTTTAAGTTCTGGGTCTGAGTCGGCTCTTTTCTTGCCTCTCCTGGTCTCCGTCTTGGCGATTTCTTTCCAATTCACAGATTCGCAAAATAAAGCACTCTTCTAGATGATAAGATTTAGTCCTCCATGCCTCTCTGTTTACGCTTTCCAAAGACCCTTAGAAATATATTAAAAAAGCAAATTTAGTTGAAGTCCTCCTCAAAATGTCGGGCGCAACTTCTCTATGGTAATTTCATGTAGAGTAGGTCAGATTGGTATTTTGCAGGCCCTTCCTTCCGCATAAAACTCACTTCCGGTCCGGCACCTTTAAAAGTTCCACTGTCTTCCTTTCGCTAATGCCCGTCTAGGAATTCAACTTCCTGGATGTTTCACACGGACCTCTTTCTTTGTGACACCAGCCTGCTCTTCCCACGCTATTGTTCGTGAGTTTCGATTTTACAGTTGCGCACACGGCTCCATCTTCACCACAGGAATGTTAAACAATAAGCGTTTTTACAGTTTTTAAAGGCTTCAATCAACTTTTTTCTCTCCGGAATCGGATTTCTGGGATTTACTATTCATTTTCCGCTCAACCGCTTAATTCAAATTGACTCCAAACTCAGTTCAGGTAAGCGGCACGTTTTTGTTATCTAGCACGTTCAAAACGGGTTTCGCATTGTTTCTTTTAACTCACAGTTGTTGTCCTTCTTCAAAGAGGTCGGCTGACGAAGAATTTATGCCGGTAATCCGGCTCGATCGGCCACTATAGAGTTGCTTGGCACTTGCCTTCTTCGTGGGAGGAGGTCAAAGCCCAATTCAGCTTCTTCCGAAGCTGGATTACGCCAACCTCACACTCCCTCTAGGGCGCTGCTGCCTGCTTGTCCCCCCCCCTCGCTGGGGAGTGATGCGTTGGGCTGTGTATTGCCCAAACTGTCAAAAGTGGCCGTCGCTCGCTTCGCACGATCGCGAAACGCTTCAGTCCTCCATCTTAGCCAGACCGGAAGCCCCAATACTGGCACATTCTTAAGGACTTACCTGGTTGTGAGGAATTGCTAGTAATCGGATGGACAAAATCAAATAGTATTGGTGATATTATCATTAGATCAGACATAAAATCAAAATGTATAATAGGGAGTGTTGTACTATCAGGAATATATAGATGTGGCAATTGTGCAGCCTGTGAACTATTGATACAGGGTCCAGTTTTTGAATGTAAGGAGCTTAACTTTAAGTGGAAGCTGCAACTATTCAATAATTGTAGCTCTACCTTCACTGTATATTTGAACATCTGTTCCTGCCCAAAACCTTACATTGGTTCAACTATTAGACTGTTGAAGGCCAGGATGCTGGAACACAAAAATTGTATTAAAATGCATTGAAAGAGGTTCCCATGGTTTCCCACTATCTGGAAAAAGGCCATTCACTAGATGACATTAGGTTCACTGTTTTATACAGAGTTTAAGCTAACCAATCAAATAGAATGGACATCCGTAGAATCTTACTTCAGAAAGAGTTATATTTCATATTCAAGTTTCAAATAATGTACCCTAAGGGACTGAACATGTCTATGGATTATACTGTATTTTTGTAATTCTCACATGTACCTTTAAGATCTGAACACCTGTAAGTAATTATAAGAATTGGAATGGCTTTTTCAGGAGAATGTTATTTCCTAACACCCAAGGGTTTTGGCTTTGTGGAGCTGGCTGGAACATTGAATAGACTTTAGTAGTCAAGGGAAATAGCAGAGCCCCTCAGGTATGTATCAATGTGTTTGTGGGAACCTCCCAAGCCTCCTATGAAGTCAAATGGGTAATAATTTTAAAAAATAGCTTGTTATAATGCCTGAGTGGTGGAGTGCAGCCAGGCTTCCCAAGTACTTACTGTGATTCAGCGGGGGACACAGACGTCCTCGCAGGATGATTCCTGTGGGGACAACAGACGTGCCGCACTATGCCGTCGCCAGGAAGTGACGCCGGGTGATGCTCTGGCAATGGGGCCGGAAACTCGATGGTACCATCAAGTTTTCAGTCCCATTGCCAGAGCGTCACCCAGTGCCACTTCCTGTCAATGGCATGGTGTGTGACAGGGAGGAATGGTCCAGCCAGGGAGCATGTTTCCCCCGCTGGATCACGGTAAGTACATGGGAACCCTAAGTGCAGCTGGGAACAGAGAAGTGCCTGTGCACATCCTGCACTAGCCCCCTCAATGCTTTCCCGGGTGACTGAAGTTCTGATATTAGGGGGTCCAGATTAGTAATATGTTCAGTGTCTCCGCGCTCCTGGGTGAGAAGTAATTCTAATTGTATTCAATATAAATGCTCAGATTTTGTAATTTTTGTTGCAGATTTACCATATGATTATGGCCTGATGAAGGGCCAAATGGGACGTCTGTTGATATGGTTAATGCTGTGTGGTTAACCTCATGCATCATGGTTCAGCTTCATATGTTTAAATTCAACTTGTACGGCATCTTTAAAGAATAGTTAAGAAGAGGGTTTTTTTTTAATTTCAAATAGAATGTTGTGTGTATTCCTTCATTACAGTGTTTTTCAGATTTACTAACTACACACACTGCATGGCTATTTTCTTGTTATACCACCTGCACCTTGGCTGTCCTCCTCGTGAGGAAGGAAATCTGCTGCCTTCCCACCACAAGGCAGCTGGGCCCTAGTGTGGGCTTGGTGGCTGCCATAGTGCTCACGCCTTTGCTATGGACAGGAAGGGACACCAGCCCTTTCCAGGATTGGTGTTATTCCTCAATCCAGCCCTTTGTAACATTAATTCATGGAAGAAAACAACAACTTAAGCACAAATAATCTAATAATGGAAAACAAAACAAAATTATAATAAACTGGAAAAGTGCCCAAGCTTTTTTCAGTCATCCCAGTGTCTTGGCACTAATTGGCCAGTAAACTGGCAGCTTGGAGCACCTTTATCTAACTGAACAGTTGGGTAAGATGCTGCCAGCTTGCATCCATAAAGGAAAGGATTACTGTTGGTTTGCTTTTTAAAGAAATGAAAGCAGAAGATCCAACAAAATAGCCTAGAGAGTACTCTTGAGGGGTTCTAGTTCACAGCCATTGTGTGCTATTCTTTCAGAGGAGAACCACAACAAGTGTGTATAGCAAAATTCTCGAATGGCTTCCCTTCTACATCCAGGGCAAACATAGCAGTGGCACTAGTATATCAAGTGCCACTTTATTTATTTAAACATTTACTTTATTTACATCCTATCCTTCTACAGAAAATGCGGGGTGGTGCATAAATTTAAAACATTAAAATGCAAAGTAAAAATGCATATGAAAAGCAATAAACATCAACACCAAGCTAAAAAGAACTATAAAACTTCAAGCCTCATACAAAAACAGAATGAAATAACAATGAAATCCAAGCAGGTAACCAAAAATGCTATGAAGGCGGTAACATTCAATAAAACCCAATAAGCAGCAGGATTTTTTTAAAGGGTCTTGGCAATAAACTCATCATATTAGGTTCAGCCTCCTTCAAAGATTTTTTTTTGGGGGGGGGATCTGTCTTCTTCCACTTTCCAGAAGGTCAACAGTTAGGGTTACTAACCTCAAGGTGCACCCTGGAATTCCCCCACAATGACAACTGACCTCCAGACATACGGAGATTAGTTCCCCTAGAAGAAATGGCAGCTTTGGAAACTCTGTGGTATCATATCCCTTCTGAGCTTCCTCTCCTTCTTTAACTCCACCCTCCCCAGGCATTGCCCACATATCTCCAGGCATTTCACTGCCTAGAACTGACTACCTTACCAACTATAAGAGGGCTGGCTGAATCTTCTGGGATGGGGAACTTCAGAGACTGAGGACCACAGCTAAAGCCCTCTCCTACATGCTTTGCTTCACCTAAGACAACTATGCAGAAAGGGGCAGTACCCATAAGTTTTAAGTTACAGGCAAGTTCATGGGAGTGAAGAAGGTTCATCAGATCCCCTGATCCAGTGGTGTTTAGGGCTTAAAAGATCATCATCAGAACTTTCAACTGGACCCAGTACAAACTGGAAGCCAGGGCAGTTAAAGTAAAACTGCGGAAATATGACCAACGTAGCGAGTCACTGCAAGGAAGGTCTTTTGAAAACAAAACAAACATTTAAAAAGACAAATTAAATGATACTCACCACACGGAAAAGCTTAAAGAAGTCTATATTTGCATATAAAGAGTCTTCCACTCTTTGTAAACTGTGCTGGGAAAGGGAACACATTTCCTCATGTACAGCTTGAAAGCCCCTAAAACTGCCGAATATAATGAAGCGGTCCAGCAGGGTCTGGCTGCAGGCAATGTCTTTCAAAGTCAAGTCTGGGATGCCAAAGGCAAACTATAGCCAAAACACAAATCACATATTTTGATCAATATTTGTTCTCAATAACAAATTAGCATTGGTCATGATGTTGACAATAGGAGTAATGTAAAATTACTGATTAAAGAAGTAATGAAAATCCTTGAAGGACCGTCATCATAACTGGAGAGAAGGAAAAAGTATTGTTTGTTTACATGTACTAACTAAGATTCAAGCACATTTATATGGGTCCATACATTGCCTAGCATAAGGTTAAAAATTAGTTAAGGTGCTCCATGAACAGATGCATGTGAATAAACAGGTCCATGTGAATAGAAGCTTCAAAGTTATCAGATGGAGGCAGAGCGATAAGGGCCCTCTAATAGTAATACACTTCATTTGGCTTGAAAATCAAACAAGAGCCAGTGGGAACCCAAAGGACTTGTGGGAGGCATTTCATTTCCCCCTTCCCCCTTCTTTTTTCTTTATCTTTCCTGAAAGCTCCCATATTATCTCCCCTTTTCCTGTTTCCTTCTCTCCAGTTTGGTGTAGTGGTTAAGTGCGCAGACTCTAATCTGGGAGAACCGGGTTTGATTCTCCACTCCTCCACTTGCAGCTGCTGGGTGACCTTGGGCAAGCCATAGTTCTGGCACAGCTGTTCTTGAAAAAGAGCAGTTTCTGGCAGAGCTCTCTCAGCCCCAGCTACCTCACAGGGTGTCTGTTGCGGGGAGGGAAAGGGAAAGGACTTTGTAAGCTGCTCTGAGACTCCTTTGGATAGTGAAGGGTGGGGTATAAATCCAATCTCCTCCTCCTTGTCTTCGTCTTCTTCTTCTTCTTGGATTGCCAACCTGGAGATCTCTTGTTGAATCACAATGGATCTCCCAATTACAGAGATCAGTTCCTTAGTTATGGTTAGGGTTGCCAAGTGTAAAATCCCTACCGGCGGGGGAGCGTCCAGCCGGTCCGGGAGTCATCTTGAAAAGTGCGCGCGCGCGCCGCCGGAGCATCACCCGGAAGTGACGTCACACGCTGGGTGGGGCCACGCCATTTGAGGGGAAAACTCTTTGTTTTCCCCTCAAATGGTGTGGCCCCGCCCCCAGCATGCAACGTCACTTCCGGGTGACACGCACGCTGGGGCGGAGTTCCCCCGGGCCCTGATTCCCCGGTGTCGGGTAACGGGCCTCCGGGGTGGGGGGAATTCCGCCCTACCGGGGGGGTTGGCAACCCTAGTTATGGTTGCCAGCTCCAGGTTTGGAAATTCTTGGAGACTTTGGGGTGGAGCCTTGGGAGGGTAAGATTTGGGGAGGGAAGCAACCTCAGCAGGGTACAATGCCATAGATTCCACCCTCTGAAGCAGCAATTTTCTCCAAGGGAAGTGGTCTCTGTCATATGGAAAGCAGTTGTAATTCTGGGTGGTTGGCAACCCTAGTTCACCTGGATGAAATGGCTGCTTTGGAAGGTGGCACCCTGCCTTCCCCAGCTCCACAGCCCAAATCTCCAGGAATTCCCTAACCTGGAGTTGAAAACCCTATCTCCTCCCCACTTAACAGCCAACCTACCTTTATCTGCCCCTCTGTCTTAAGCACCCTCTAACCACAACCTCTACCTAGGAAAACTGTGGCCCAGTTTTGTGGTGCTGGCCACTGGGCCAGGCCCACTTGCATGGTAGGGAACCCTCAAGGACTTGTGGTGTAG